AAGAATACTAATTCGGACAGTCAAGATTAGCTATTGACTTGACATAATAAAATCTAAAGGTTGACTATGCAGTATGTTACATGGTAAGTGACTTGATAATTTTGGTCATCTAACTTGACTATTCTTCAAATTTTGGCACATTAAGTAGTCCCACTTGTAAATTTAGTACGTTAAGTTGCAACTTTTGTCAACTTTGATCCACTCACTACTATAAATACTATTGGTTTATGATTCTTTCGTCACGAACTAAATTTTATTATAATTTATTAAGTAACATAACAAAAATTATTTTTATCACATAAAAATTTCACATAATTTACTTTTGCTAGTAATATATATAGTATTTTTTGTGATGATTTGGTAGGTGAAAGAACAAAAATTCAAACAATTTTGTATGCAACAATGTCGGAAAGTAAGTGTGTAAACATTTTTACTTGAAAACCCATGTTCAATCAGAACAGTGTGGTACATTTCATGTGCATAAACATAGCCACATATCTTTAATAATTAATTTGCTACCTTCACCAGGAAAAATCAGTCCATCACAAAAACAACTGGTTTACCTCAATTTATTGATAACCTGACTGCTGGATCCTTAACCACAAAACCAAGCACAGTAATAAATATCCGAAAATTAACCCTCAGATACTATAAAATTCTCCAACTCAAAAGTCCTCACATGTATATACAAAAAAATAAAAAATAAATAAAAATAAAAAGTAAAAGCACACATACCAAAAATTTATCAGATACGAGAAATCCTCTTCCTCTTCCTACTCCTTTTATGCGCAGCAAATTTGTCTGGGCCTTTCTCAGAGGGCCGGGCAAGGCCCAACAACCCCATACTGGATGATGACGATGTTCTGGCCTTCTTATCAGCCCATTTCAATGGCATCTCATTCACAACAACACTTATATCATCCGAATCATTAAGACGCACAACATTCTTCATCTGCTCGAGCATTTGGCACGTCCAGGCAGCCGAAATGTCCAGCTCAACCGAATCATCCATCGGTTTTCTCCAGAGATCCATCAAAATATTCATAAACGATTTATACGACATCATGGGCCCACGATTTTCACACACCATGTTGACCTTAATGACGTGCTTGCACAGATTTCCTTGCATTGACCACTCACAGTCACAGTGGGCAAATTCCGAACCAGGATTCCAAACAACCCTCATCAAGCTGCCGTCTTTCTGGCTGACAACTTTCGCAAAAAGACGGTCTTTATCGTCAAATGAGACGTTGTGATCTGGGATTTGAAGGGCCCGATGCCAAGAAGTCGAGGCCACATATTCTTCCTTCACGTTCAGGAAAGAGTCGCTTTCATCTGCATAGCGGTCGAGCCAGTAACTCGAGTGGAGTTCGGTTGTCAGCTTGTGGACCAACCAGTCGACCCGCAGGAAAGAACCAAGTTGTGAGTCGTCCTCATCGTATAACTTGGCTTTCAGCTTCACGTGATAAGCTTCAATCGCGCCAGATGCTTCCAGGCTGGCAAGTGGGAGGGTCTTCATTGATTTCAGCCACATCTCTGCAAAATTGGATGGAGAA